TACACACACGACTTTAGGTAAGCTTGTTGTTCTACATCAGAATGTACACACACGACTTCAGGTTAGCATCTTGTTCTACATCAGAATGTACACACACGACTTTAGGTTAGCATGTTGTTCTACATCAGAATGTACACACACGACTTTAGGTTAGCATGTTGTTCTACATCAGAATATACATACACGACTTTAGGTTAGCATGTTGTTCTACATCAGAATGTACACACACGACTTTAGGTTAGCATGTTGTTCTACATCAGAATGTACACACACGACTTTAGGTTAGTATCTTGTTCTACATCAGAATGTACACACACGACTTTAGGTAAGCTTGTTGTTCTACATCAGAATGTACACACACGGCTTTAGGTTAGCATGTTGTTCTACATCAGAATGTACATGCACGACTTTAGGTCAGCATGTTGTTTTTTAGAGAAAATTTATGTTTGAAAATACCTTGCTAATTTCGTCTACTTTTTTTGTTCTATTTGAAATTATATTATCCTTTACGGAAGATGTGGTTGGAAAACATGTCGAGTAGCCCCATGCTTTAGACTAATTAATTAGCAAAGTTTTCCTTTTGTTTATCATATGCTTAAAGAACCATCATTTCTTAAATATATATATATATATAGCATGTAATGAATCAAATATGGCAGGCAATATAAGAGAATCGAAATTTATAAGATTAATTACACATTTATGCGAATGCTGTTATTATTATTTTTACAAAACTCTGTTCTGTGTCAATGTAGTCTTATATTTCAAACTTGATTTAAAAAAAAACACGCAAATTCAACATTACTCAGTGTATTTTTTTCTTTGGAAAAATGCCTTAAGCAGAGGTAGGCTCAAAACTAAAAACTTTCGGCTTTGTTATATAGAAAGTAAACTCTGTTTTACCTGTTTTTGAACCATTCCAAGCATTCCAGACCACTCTCCTTTTGGCCCTTTCACACCCCAAGACTTATCACTGGGCGTCACAATACGAAATCTAAGTATAGAAAACATTGTGATGTGAAAATTTTTATTCTGGAAGGATCAATGATAATAAACTGTATTCATACTGAAATTATTATTAATTTCTGATCACTGCAAGCTACTTATATGAATCAAAACTAAAACTTAGCTTAATGATTAACATAATTAATTTAATAGACCAGTGTACTTAAGAACATAATGATTTAAACACAGTGATCCATCATTGTGGTACTCTCGCTGTTTGACACGCTCGCGACACGTTTGACCTTAATTTGTAGTGTCCTATATGGTACTGAGGTTAAATATTTACGGACATGAGGGGAGTGGCACAAAGTTATTCTACTTGTACTGCATGACATTTAGCATCGAAACTCAAAGCCACGTGCTGAACTTGTTTTTCTTCTACTGGAAAAACTTTTGAACTGGAACAAAATTTCATTATGTCTTGTTTTATCATTTCATCCAAAAGCACCAAATCTCTTTGTAATTTGATATATGTTCGACAATTTGATCTACAACAATTAACATCACTAAAAACAAACTGATAATTTTGAACTTCATTTACTTAGAAATACGCGAATAACGCTTTACTGCCGCTTAGCCTTTTATTTACGTCTGACTCAGGAACATCATAGTAAGTTTAAAAGTCTCCATGAACAACATTTGATTTTCACTTTAGGCCTATATTTAACAAAATTAGGTTCAATTGGCCGCTGCTTTTCATGAAATATTTCATCTTATAACCTTCATATCAATTTTAAAGCTACACAATGGGCTATCTGTGCTCTGCCCCCCACGGGTATCGAAACCCGGTTTCTAGCGTTGTAAGTCCACAGACATACCGCTGTGCCAGGGGGGGAGGGGGCATAAATAGTTTTAATTCAGTATAAAATGTAGACTCGGTATTATAGATAAAATATATAAAAAATCTGTGTATGCTGTATTGATTTAATTTTCATGATGAAGGTGAAGTTTTATATCAAAAGTTTTTGATTCAATAGGCAATGGAGACTTTTTACTTATATTTGTGCTACAAATAAAATTTAAAAGAAATTAAAATCTGTGTATGATTTACATATGTTTAACACTTGACACATATATTATTGTACAACTGAGGAGAAAAACCTGAAATTGTTTTGTAAAACGAAAAAAAAAGAGATTTAAAGCATTGTTTCCCAAAAGGAAAAATTTAAACCATTAAAGGAAATATTTAAAGCATTGTTTCCCAAAAGGAAAAATTAAAGTATTGTTTCCCAAAAGGAAAGATTTAAAGCATTGTTTCCTAAAAGGAAAGATTTAAAGCATTGTTTCCTAAAAGGAAAAATTTAAAGCATTAAAGGAAAAATTTAAAGCATTGTTTCCCAAAAGGAAAATTTAAAGCATTGTTCCTAAAAGGAAAAATTTAAAGCATTGTTTCCCAAAAGGAAATATAGCATTGTTTCCCAAAAGGTGTGCAGTGAAACACACTGGTGAGTCACAAAATTATAATTTTTCTGTATTCTTCTAAACAACACAGGTAATTACAATAAAGCATTAGGATAAGAATTTTAAAGATATGACCATGTTAAAATACAATTTCAAACAATTCTATCAACCACTGTCTTCTTTTCTCGAGGTTGTGTGGCTTTATTCCCAAGCTTATGATATGAGCGCCACTATTAGTGGTGTTCCGCATTTGTTTAATAGTGTCTTGGAGGTGGGGTGGGGTGGGAAGTGGCATCCGAAAATACTAGTGTTCTAGACAAAACAAATTACACATTTTCAGGATTCTCAGAATCAACTGGATCCTTTGTACTTACTTGTCACTGGACAATTTAAGTGGGCTGAAAAGTGCCCTCTGGTAAAATAAAATACAACAGCTTACTGTATCATAGATATAACTCATGTATACATGGCTGCTCGAAGATATATAACACATACATATATATAAATATATTGATTTTGAGTTCATAAAGAACTTGGTTAAGATGTATAATATTGTTGTATTTGTATTGGGTGTGTAGTGTATTTTGTGAGTCATATAATCTATACTCGAGCAACTACCGTAACGGTGATATAATGTAATACATGTGAGAGAAATACAAAACTTGGCAATAACTACATTTGTTAAGTGCATTGACTGTTAAATAAAGCCTTACACGCTTGCTTCTGTATGCAATTTCCGTACTTTCAAAATTTAAATACACTCGCTATAAAGAGGAAAATCTATAAACGTTAAACTTACCTAAAACTGTATAATTCAGCCAAAGATTGAAGTATTCTAAAATCGATTCCACCTTTTCCAACCAACTGGCCATCAGGACCAATTTCGCGAATAAAGAACGGAAAGTTCTAAATAAAGAAATATGTAATAATTAATCATCTACTTCGTAAGCGTATGTTGTCTTTTTTTTCTGTCAAGTGAAGCATTCCGAATAAAATTTCAAATTATTTGTTTTTTGTTAAGCTCATAGCTACAGAATGAGTTGTATGTGTTGTGCCCATCGTGGATATCGAAACCCGATTTCATTATATGCTGTGCCTTTGGGAGGCAGGGGTATAATGAAATAAAATGGTTAACTTCCTTTATTATTATCGTAGAATAGAAGTAATGAAAAGTCCAAATAAATGAAATGTTTCTGTACAAACAGAACCATGACAATTTATGGATCCTCATAATATGAAATACACGTTCAAAGCTGAATATTCCTTAAAAAAATAATGATTTAGCAAAATTTAAAATTTGAGTCAACTATGCCATTTCTAACAATGTCTTACAACGATAATTAAATAAAGGTGATTTACCTTGGAATAATTTTTTATAGAAATGTCTACAGGTTTAGTAGAGAATGTAGTGTTTATCTACGGGTTTAGTAGAGAACGTAGTGTTTGTCTATGGGTTTAGTAGAGAATGTAGTGTTTGTCTTCGGGTTTAATAGAGAATGTAGTGTTTGTCTATGGGTTTAGTAGAGAATGTAGTGTTTGTCTACGGGTTTAGTAGAGAATGTAGTGTTTGTCTATGGGTTTAGTAGAGAATGTAGTGTTTGTCTATGGGTTTAGTAGAGAATGTAATGTTTGTCTACGGGTTTAGTAGAGAATGTAGTGAGTTTAGGGCCATAAAAGTCACAAGACGTTATTGAATATTGTTGGCAATGGAATGGAAAAGTGTAAAAAAAGAAAACATGTCTATTACAATAAAGTTTAGAGAGATCATGGTTCCTGCATATAATTTTCCTTTAAAAATACAAGCTTTGTTTTTGTGAAGGTAGATTGAGCCTAATAATATACTGACAAACACTACATTCTCTACTAAACCTGTAGACAGACACTACATTATCTATTAAACCCGTAGACAAACACTACATTCTCTACTAAACCTGTAGACAGATAATATAACATTTAGAATATAGTGTAAAGAGATTGAGTTGGGCCAAAATCAATACACTTTTTAATTTATTTGTAATGCGAATCTATATTAAAACACGTATAAACTTAAGTCAGTTTCGCTTTCCTGTTTAGAAAATGTTAGGTCACTATAATAACGGTTTAATTTATTTTACCTCAAGTGTTGCAACACGCAATTCCCGACCAACAAAGTGAAGACGTTTAGACAAACGGAAAAAATCGTTCGGCATAGCAGGTAGAAGCATATTCCGTTTTGCCAGCCATCTCCCAATCTGCACACGTTCGCGACAGTTGTTAACCTGGATGTTGGGGCCGTCAATTACGTAGTTTTCTGTGTTTCTGCATCCTTCCTAGTTTTAACAGAGCATAGTTCTAACTACCAATTAAAACCGAGATAATAAAAAGCATATATGAAAATTAGTAAATTGAACAAGGATAATGCCAGTAATTTGTTGGTTTCACATTTTCAATTCTCTAGAGTGATACTAAATTTACACGTTCACGTCCAACAGAGTTAATCGATAATGGTTAAATCGTTCACGATCCTTTAATACGTTTTTCCTTCTTCCCCTTAGATGGCCTCAACGACAGACTGTCAATTAACTATTGAAGTTAAATGTAGGTTCGATACGTTTTGCCCAGTAATTATATTCCCAGAAACAAAAGTTTCTCTTATTTGTTTCTAAAATTTCTTCCAGTGCTCGTTCAGTAAAGGACATCTTTCTAAAAGTTCCTCAATATATTTTTTTTCGTGTTACGCATGCAGATAAATACGTTTCTAATACATAATAAAAGTTGTGTGTTGTTAACAAAATAATTTAGATTATCGAACTGCCGACCAAAACAATCTGTCAGATTTACAATCGTGTTTGAATGTATAACATTTGTTTCTAAAGGCTCGACATTTGAATGTATAACACTTGTTTCTTAAAGCTCGACATTTGAATGTATAACATTTGTTTCTAAAGGCTCGACATTTGAATGTATAGCATTTGTTTCTAAAGGCTCAGCAGTTGAATGTATAACATT